GATATGACAAAGAATCAGAGGAGGAGCAGAGAATCTGATCATAGTAAATATTAAAACAGGTAATTCTAAAGCTAATTTTTATACTATTTAGGGAAAAAGTATTTAGTGACAGTAGGTTTACTGTTGGGAGGGTGAAGGGAGGGGGGGAATAGGGGAGAAGTAAATGCATTTTCTTACCTATACAGTTTCTCAAACTACTTTGTGAAATTATTTGAAGGGGTCTTGAGGGATAATATTCAGGATCTCACTGGTAAGAATATTGTTATTAGCATAGCATAGTTTTCTGAAACATAGGTCATACCAAACTAACCTAAATGTATTCTACAAAGAAGTAAGTAGATGTATAAATCAGGGTGTTGCAGTGGATGTGATCTACTTGGATTTTGCCAAGGCATTTGATACTGTTCTTCACATTAGGTTACTGTTCAAACTAAAAGAAATTGGCCTAGATTAAAATTATTGTTCTTGGGTAGAGCATTGTCTTAAGGATAGAGTACAGAAAGTTCTCATTAATGGTAAATGTTCTTACTGGACAAAAGTGGTAAGTGGTGTCTCTCAATTTTCTGTTGCTTCTATGCAACATATACATGATGCAACATTTATAAATGATCTTGAAATATGCATTAAAAGTCATGTTTCAGTGTCTGCAGATGACTCAAAACTCTGTAAAGTAATACAATGTGAGCAGGATATTGCTTTGCTGAAGAGGGATTTAGATAGATTGGGGGGCTGGGCACTCAAATGGCATATTATTAATATTATTATTTATAAACCACAAACTATTTCCGCAGCGCTATACAATGGGTGGTCAAACAAACATGTGTTTGTAATCAGACGAGTTTGACGCACAAGATGGTTAAAGGTCCATCTCAATGCTAGAGGGAGTGGGGTATAATAACACAAAAGGTAAGGGTAGAGTGTAAATCTAGGTTGCTAGAATAGTATTCACTGAAGACTTACATGCTAGAGGGAATGGGGTATAGTGACACAAAATGTAAGGGTAGGGTAGCCAACTAGGTTGCTAGAGTAGTATTCATAACCATTAATATACATAGGACACAAGGTTTCACACTTAGACTGGAGCAGAGGAGATTTAGTCTAAGTAAAGGGTTTTTTACAAGAACAATAAGGATGTGGAATCCTCTGCCTGAAGAGGTGGTTTTATCAGAGTCTATATAGATATTTAAATAGCAATTGGATTAATACTTGCTAAAACTCAATATTCATGGATATCATTTATAATTAGTAGGGTAATATTTTGTTGATCCAAGGATCAATCTGACTGCCATTCCGGGGTCAAGAAAGAATTTTTTCCTAGTTTGTTGTAAAATTGGAAGTTGTTTAAGCTGTTTGTTTGTTTTTTTTGCATTTGTTTGGATCTATATAACACATAAATAAATAGTAAAAAAAAGAAAACAGGTGGATAGAAATCACAAGTTCTCTGCAAGGTTTTCTGTGTATGGATTTGGCCTGGAGACTGTCAGCCAGCCTGGTGTGCATTGACACCAGCATGACATGTCCCTTATGTGGGTAGACTAGCATTGCCAGTGACCAAAGTATCCCCACTCACACCGTCCTGATCACATTCCACCCAATGCTAGGAGGTATGACTATTGAAAAACAAGTGAGTGGTTACTAAACACTAACAAGATTATTTACTAAAATGAGAATTCAAAATTATATCTGACTTAAAGATTATTTTCAGTTTTTCCTTTTGGGAGTTTAATTGAACAATAATTAAATGCCAAGTACTTTAATAGTGGTATCACCTTACCTATAAAATGGCCCTATTACTGGTACTTAGAATAGTGAAACTTATTATGGACCGGCTGCAGAGGCTATGAATGTGTTTTTCAGGAGCACATGGCGCTCATTGCCCTGATGAGATTATCCATACCAAATCACCTTCCCAGATAGTTTACTCAGTCACAACTCACATTATAATAAAACAATATCATGTAACATGACAAAACTGACTAGGAAAAGGGAGAGATCAGGGGAAAGAAGTACGGAGGGTCATGTAACAAGTAACATGCTAAGAGTGACAGAAAAAAATTTTGGTTTTCTGGTGACTTTGGCACAGATCTTGACTTCTCTATCAATAATCCACTAGCAAGTTACAAGAGACAACATCAGTGTATGATCGGTGTTTCATGAAATAATCATTGGTTGACATCAGAAATACAAGGGCAGAAAACGTGTCGCATGAATGACTCCGTAGCTATGGTCTGGTTATAAAAAAGACCCATTGCCAGTAGAGTTTAGCAGATATGATGCCTCGTGTCACAATATATGGAACATTAGTGCAGAATTGGAGCAGGAGCAACAGGCAATGTGACAATTCTTACCATAATAATAGTGCTATACTCACTTTCCTTATAGTGCTATGGGATGCCCAGTCTCCTTGGCACAAAGTGTCCCCTCATTGGTACTAGGCATCAGGCATTATGAAAACTGTTCCTATGTAATGTAATACTTGTTACTTGTGACTTTAAGAGAACTGACAGACCTAATGGAATATAAACACATGCCATCAGTGCCTCTAAGCACTGTTATTGTGTTCATTAACTTTGCTACATGCTATGAAGATTTCTCTCCACCCTGCAGGCTTTACCTACATGGGCCCCACCAATCCCCTTCCTGACTGATCGTCCTCTAATTAAGAAACCAAGTCTTGGTTCACACAGGAAATTGCACTCATACCAGACCTTGGGACAACTTTGGATAGGGCTTCCTCTTTTCACTCCTTATCAGCTTGTACACCAAATCTTTCTATATGACTATTCCTCCTGCTTACTGACTCACTGGACTTGACCTTGGCATCGGATATTAACCCCTCTCTTCTCTACCCTAAACTGTCAGTCGGATTCTCTGGTAGAAGAAAGGCTTTGATTAATGGACTACTTTCTAGGATTCTTCTAATAGACATGTGCAATTAATTTTGTTCTGAATGTAAATTCGGATGAATTTCGGCAATGCGGACATTCGCATGCTTCTGAATTGCTGAAGTCCCGAATTTCGGAAGTGCCGAACCAAACCGAATTGCCGACGTGTCAAATTACTGAAGTACCAAACCGAACCGAATTGCTGAAGTGCCAAATTTTGGAAGTGCCGAAGTGCTTTTGATTTCTGAAAAGTGGTAAAACAAGAGAAGGAGGGAAAATGATGTGAATGATGACAGGAATCTAGACCCATAAGCTAATTCCTGGCACTGGGAGCCCCATAAATGTGTAAGTGGTTGTGGTGGCAGTCCAGGCACCTAACCCTATCTCTCATCACCTAACCCCAGAGGTAGGGTTAGGGGTAGGATTAGGGAGCCCTACAGATGTGTAAGTGATTGTGGTGGCAAGAGAAGAATGCTTCCGAATGTCCGAATTGCCGAAGTGCCAAAGTCCCGAATTTTGGAAGTGCCGAACCAAACCAATGTGCCGAATTGCTGAAATCCCGAATTTTGGAAGTGCCAAACTGAACCAAAGTGCTGAAGTGCCGAATTACGAAAATCACAGGCTGCTGTATAAAGTTTAGGATTAAAGTTAGAATGTTGGGGTTTGGGCTAGTTTAGGCACGCAGTTTGGCTTAAACATCTAGAGGATTTTGGATATGGTCTGATCCTTCATAACATGCATGTTTGCATAATCTGTGATGTATTCAGCATTTTCTCTGTGTCTGTTTGACACAGGTGACATTTTTAATTCACACCTTTTTTAAGATAAAACTTTTCTCATTGTCATTCTAACAGTAAGCAATATGCAAACACACTCTCATGCATGCAAACCACTGTACCAATGCACATCCAGTTAATGTTTTTTTTTGTGTTACTTTTAGGAAGTTTTATAATGGTCCTTTAACATAGTTACACAGCATTCTTCTCTTCAATTATGGGTTCTTTTATGGCTGCAAATGCAGCAGCAAAGATGAGATGGATTGTCACCAATCTCTTATAGTCTGATGCCAAACATAACCTATGCACTTCCCTGTTTGATTTTGCCAGGCATAATTTAATTTAACAATCATCTCCTGCGCTTTGATAACTGGTAAAGTCTGATAGCTGTAACTGGTCAGGTCTCAGAGACCAACTAGTAGAAAGTGATGGTTTAGACCATCATGGGTGAGCATGATTGTCCCTACTACCCCCACATAAATATATCTGATTGGTGTAACTGTCCTCTCAATGTTACTCTTATCATATACCCATACCACAAATATTCTGAAACTCAACCTCCGATTTCCACCCAGATTCCCAAAAGAATGCCCCCAGAAACTACAGACAATCATTTTTTTTCCCATTATAAAAGGAGGCATATGATCTGTTTAAAACCAAAGTGAAATCTGTGTAGTATAATCAAGAAACAGACAAATACATGTAGACATATTACTGCAGCATATGCTGGTATTTTGTTTAAATTAAATTAACTCAAAGTTTTTTTTAGAGCTCAAACTAGAACCAGAAGTTAAAAAAAATATTGCTTGTTTTCAGAGATGCTTTATATGTATTGCATTAGAAAAAAAGCTTCATATTTTCTGTGCTTTGTAAAAATGGAATCAGCAGAGACTAAACCGAAATCACCAGATGAAAATACCAGAGACTGAACCTATAACATAGTTACATAGTTACATAGTTACATAGCTGAAAAGAGACTTGCGTCCATCAAGTTCAGCCTTCCTTACATTTGTTTTTTGCTGTTGATCCAAAAGAAGGCAAAAAAACCCAGTTTGAAGCACAATTTTGCAACAAGCTAGGAAAAAAATTCCTTCTTGACCCCAGAATGGCTACACATATAGTAACATAACTAATACTATCCAAGAGAAACAAAATGCGTAATGTACTTCTGGGATTTGTGGTTCAGTTGCAATTCAAATCCCAGGTCTGCAACATGTGTATACCTCCTCTGAGCATAGGTAGGTGGAGGGCTTCCTCATGGTAGCCTATAGTTTCCTGCACAGCATGTCCTGCAACCATCATGCCTGTTCAAGACCATACTCTAGATTAGAAAAGCTGCAGTGTATCATGCAGAATTTACCTGCTGTTGCAGCGATATACTAGAACTAATATTCCCTGCACTTGTCTGCCACGTGAGAGGCAGCCTAGTTCAGCCTTGAATTGTCCAATTGCGAGTCTCCAGCAATATTTGCCCTTATGTTGCCACAATATAAGCTTTCAGAAACCCTCCTGAAATTGTGCTGCGGATCCGCTCATAGCTTTCGACTATGTGACAACTGGTTTAGCAAGACAGTTTTCTGCTTCACATTGACATTGCACATTTAACTTTTCAAATAGAAATAAGTTATTGAGATTGATGCATGGGAAAGCTGACAGAGAGAAAAAACCTGCAATTGCCTCCCCCCAATTGACTTGTCAAAATAAGTAAATAAAAATGTAAATTTTCAAATATACATGCAACATAAATCTGTATTTTGTTTTTCTTAACTGTGAGATACCTCTAATGGACTGCTACTTGCATTAAAGGAACACTATAAGGTCAGGAATACAAACATGTATTCCTTGCCCCCTTCATCCCCCTTAAAGTAAGTTAAAAACTTAAATAAGTTAAGTTAAAAACCTTTACTACAGTGCTGGGCGGGTCTGCCGATGCTGGCATTACCTCCAATCCATTCAATGCTGTAGTGAGGTTCCTAGCGCTTGTTAGATTCTGGTATGGTAGCTGGTACTTCCCAAACCAGAGTCTCTTCTCTCTGGTCGTAACTAGGTATAGGTCAGGAAAGGGTACAGGGAAGCAAAAAAAAAAAATCCTCTTATGGTGGTGAGTCAATATGGAAACCAAGAAGACAGAAAATAGAATATAGTGTAGTATATTCTATAAGTGGTGAGGTACAATACGAGAAATGCCACTTGAAATTTTCTGGAGCTTAAGTTCAGCTCCAGATATATGTGCCTGGGCTATATAATCCCCGTCTGTGGATATGTCGCTCACTTTAGTTCCTTGTAAATGGTAGGTCAGGGTTAAGGACCAATTGACTGATTGATTTCCCTCCAAATTGCACCACAAATATTCACCAATACCATAAAATGAGAATAAACAGAAAAATAGTGCTCTTTGGTTTGTTGTTGTAAAAGCAAAAAAAAAAAAAAGAAAAGAGGTATACTCACATAAGGAGAACAATAAATGAGGTGTTTGCTCAATACTGTGTAGCGTTAGTGGTTTTCTCCCCACCAAGGAGGTAAAAAGTGGTTTTGAAAAAGCCCCTTTGGGTGAAATGCGTTAGTGTTTTTATGTCATTGCTTTTATTATCTTTGTTTTAAATAAAACTCGTTTTTTTACCTTACCTTTCCTGATTTTTCATCTGAAGATTTTATCAGGAGGAGCCACAAAATTACCAAAAACTTAAATTTTCATCAATTTAGTCAGAAAAAGAAAAAATGCTGTTCTATGAATGTCAGAATGACAAAAAAACTAAATGACTGAATTGTTTAGACAACATCCTGTCACCTAGTTAATATTGTGTGTGTGATGCAAAATTCAACCAGAGTGCAGCAAACACAATGTCTGGTGAGGATGTTTTCTGTCCAATCATGTTGAACTTAAATGAGCACTCCACTGACATCTATTAAATAAAAAATCACTGTTTAGTAGATAGATCCTCAATGTTTACATGCATGAATTTTCATGCGTGTATTAATTGGGGGTGTAATGGAAAAATCAATCAAGGTATTGATTATGTGATTTCTTTGTGTATCTGCCCCTGGCCAAATCAATGAAACAATGCGTGCACGCTCCCTGAAGTAATTCACACCAGACACAGGTTCCAGGTTGTTGAATAACTTGAGGAAAGTTTATTCAGAGGGGACGGCAGGTCCCTTTTAAAGCAAAATTACATCATAAGCATTGTCAGAGATAACATGGAATAATACATCAATAATTGGTTAAGTGTTAAGTGTTTTATTCAAAGCATGTCCTACAGGGTGTGCCTTCTTATGTCATTACTGTCGTCATGGAGTTCTCCCCCCGGATTCCAGCGCCATCTTGAAAATTAGAGTGTTTGGTCGATGGGTGGGGTACTCCTGAGTGACATCTAGTGGTCAGTTTAGTAATTTATTGGATAATATTGAGTATAACTAAATGGAGTAAATAGACATTTTACTAGCTAAAAAATATGTCAATATTTCATGTCACCAGGTCCATGAGGGTCTCCCACGGTTTCCCGGCGCCATCTTGCTGCACGAGGTAGTTAGTCGGTGTTAAAGGGGCAGGGGGAGGAGGTGGTTCGAAGCTTCTAGCAGCCATCTTGATTAGAGCACGTGTGTATAGCTTTATATATGATATATCGTGGAATGAGTAAATAGACATTTTCACTAACTAGGAAATATGTGCAGACCTTATTTCCACAACAGGGGGTGTGTCTTAAAAGAGTTTGCAAAGGTTACTATTCCTAAGAACTACAGCCTTTGTAAGCACTCCCCTTTTTTCCTGGAAGAGACATTCAGTCGCTTCCTGGAAGAGACATTCAGTCAATTCCTGGAAGAGACATTCAGTCGTGAAGAAGCCTCTGATTTAGTGGTTACGTGCGCGCGTGCCAGTCTGCAACAGAGGAGTTGGTCTGAGGTATGTGAGGGAATGGGAGGCAGGCGCGCTCAAGTAGAGAGTGCCTGCCATTTCCGTTAGTTTAGGGGAGCTATCGGAAGTAGGAAGGAATCCTCCCTGGCTGTTTGATTGACAACCAGGGGGTAGTTTCCTAGTTAATTTATAAAAGTCCTGATTTCTATGAAAAATCCACACTTTTATAAACTGGGGTTAAATGAGGGCACTCCTCACCCATAAAGCATTTCAGTAAGCTGAAGTGCTTGGGGTGTGGAGTGGTCCATTAAGCCTAGCAGGCTGTCATTTCCTGTTTCTCCTGGAACACTGAGAGTGAGACAGTGTGAGCTGAGTCGTTAAGCAGTGAGCACACAGTGTGTTGGTTTGGCATTGGAACGCAGGCATTAGGTATTACTATTACTTAACCTAGGTAGTTTTTTTTTCTCCATAGTCCAATTTTTATTTAATTATTTTTTAAATGAAACTAGGTAGATTCTATAAATGGGTTGTGTGTGAGACTCAGACAGACATTCACTTAGAGGTAAAGCAGGGCTGTCAGTCTGTTGTTGAATTCAAAAGTTGAAGAGGTTTTAGTTTTACCTCTGTGTAAAGCTGAACACGCTTTTTAAAACTGTTTGCAGGGACCTAATTTTTACTTTGAACATTCAATAAAACAGAGTATTAACAATATTGTATTGTGTTTGTAATGGAGCTCCTGTACTCAGGCTGGCTATCTCTGTTAGGTCAGCTTCCTCGCTGCAACCAGGGAGCCGGAGCTGGACTGGGGTCTCTAAGGACCTATTCCACTGGTCCAGGCTGCAGTGCTTATAGCTCTCTGTAGTCATTCTAACTCTCTTTCCTTTGGAAGCCTTCTCTCCTATACAGCAGCTGTGATTATAGCTTTTTGTTGCTCCCACACATTAGTCAAGACTGGATGTAAGGATGTAAGAGGTTTAAAGACCCAAATTAGAGATCCTTTTGGAAAACTGTGAATCATGTATAAGATGGAAGAAATGTCTGCCAGGCTTCAATGCAATTTGGTATTACATAGCAAGGTGTGATTTGCATGGAATGGATACAAAGGCTTAACAGAAGGGCCATGACTTATATCTTCAAGTTCACATCTATTGAGTGTGTAGGGTGCCCGACCTTCCTCCCTCCATGCAAAAATCTTTACCATTATTTTTATTTCTTATCTATATATAGTTTTTTTTTATTTTACACGTTTCTCCTTTCCTCTCTGCAATCCCTTCTCACATATCAGTCACCCTTTTTCATTTCTTATTTTTTTTCTTTCTTTTTCAATGTTTTTTTGTCCATTTCTCCTAGTTTTCTAATTTTTTTATTTGTTTAATCTAGGTCTTTATGTGTTGTCTGTATAATTTGTTTTATTAAAGTTGAATTCCTTTCATATGGTTTTTGTTGATTATTTAATAATGGCACCATAGATATTTTGGCTTTGTTCTGAATTTGTGAATTTATAATAGAAACAAAAAATCAGGAGAGTGGGATCTGGTACATGCTGTACAATTGCATTAAGATGTTTTTACAAATATATTATTGTATTGTATATTATTGCATTGTATATTAAACATTTATGCAATAGTGAATCCTTAAAGTATGATACACTTTCTATTCCATTACTCCTCTTAATAAAAATTATTAGCTTTTCCGCCCTTCTCCTCCCCCCCCCCAAAAAAAAACTTCCAGGAAACAACCAAGTAGGAAATAATTAGTGGTATGATATACAACGGAAAAAATAACGCTTAAAATTTACATTAAATTTACAAAATGTATCAAAATAAAATGTATGTGAAGTTAATTTCTACATTATGGTCTGGAAATATATTTACCTGTGACTACTGTAATCATGTAGTGTGAGTGGGTTATAGTTATGGGGTGATGTGTTTTATAAGGTAAAATAAATCTGCCATAAAACAGGCCAAGCTGGAAATACTAAATAACATTTAATATGCAACCATTGGTGTGATTTATTATACAATATTAAACTCAAGTTTTCTTTTCTTCCTCAAAATTATTTCTGTTCCGATTTTCCTCTCTTTTTAATTCTATAATATTATGTGTACTTAAACACTCAAAACAACTAACCAGGGGAGCACACGGTAGTGGTTATAGTGGTAGGAATGCCCTGGCACCCTCCAATGTAAGTATCCAAGCTGTTTGCTATTAATGAACACTTAGCTAGGGACACCAAGACGGTGTGTCTTGTATCTCTACAGTCTCAAGCTCTCTTCCAGAGCTAAGCAATACAACCCACACAACAGTGGAGGGCTTAGTTTATAGGCTGACAGCAAGCAGCTGATCTTGTCAGACAAGGAATTAGCTCAGGAGAACCAACAAAGCTCCTAGCAGGACGTTCTGGCTACCCATACAAGTAGAGGCAGAAGGCAGCTCCTGGCAGACCCCAGAAATAAGTAAAACAATTAGCAAATGATTTGACTGTTTATTGAGGAATGCAAGGGCACCATAACTACTGCAGCAATAGCTATGGTGTTTGGAGTGTTACTTAGTTACTTTAGTTTCAATTAAGCACGTTTTCTGGTACAATGTAGCTTAACCACTGCCACAAACTTAAAATTATAACGGGTATATTAATTGATATGTTAATTTAATTCAAATTGCAAAAAATGAAGTTTTTTATGCACATTAGTGTCTCAGGTTGTGTGCTATTT